TCAGAACCCAGGGCCTCGAGGAAGCAGAGGAACAGAAAGAATGGCTTTGGTTCACTTTGGGGGAGCTCAGGTCCTCACTCTGAGCATCGCTTCCTGGCTCCGGAGGGGAAGATGGTGCACTGCCGGTCTCCCGGAGAAGCTTACTGCATTGGCTTCCCTGATGGGAACTCGGCCATCTTGATTGTTAGAGGAGCTCAGGACCTCACTGTTGCTGAGGATGGCTGTGGGACCTTTCGGGGAAGCTCTGATTCTTTGTGTGTCTCTTCCTGGCTCCAGTGCAGATCCCTCAGCCTGCTAGCACAGATCCTTCATCCTGCTGGCACAGACTTCCTAGATTCTACCATCGACCTTTGGGCCTTCCCAGCGCGGATCTGTGAAACAGGCCTGCATGAGATATTGTTATGGGCTTTAGGTCTTCAGCTGGACGCATGCAGGACATTTCCATGAGATCCAGGCCCTCAGCTGTATCCCTTGGTCTATAGTGTGGGGACAGATTTCCTGCACTCTCTTGTATACATTCTTTGGGTGACTATTATGAATAACCTTATAAAATATGTGTCCTGTGCTATATTGTTCCCCTTGCAATAAGCCCAAACTATAACACCAGCACAGGTGTGTCTGAGGGTCAGCCTGTGCCAGAGCATGAGGAAGAGGAGCAGTTACAGCCTTTCTGTTTTCGGGGACCAAGGCCTTTGGGAGCTCCTCAGCCGGCCTTAGCCTGCTCCTCCTCAGATCACCGTGCTAGGCCATACTATTGGGCTGAATATTTTGATTTTTCTCCTTCCTGAGTCCATAGGAAAGTATGTCTTTCTAGCTCCTTGCAGTTAGGCAGGGCTCTATGTAGGTGGAAGTGATCAGTGTCACTTGCAGGGGAAGCAGGGAGATCCAGCCTCTGATTATCTGTCCTCTCCCTCCTCCCAAATGGTGATGCGGATGAGGCTTTGCCAGGGTGGCAGAAACAGGGGTCCTGGGAAATGGGGGACCTTTTCTAAGTTGCCCCAACCTGCAGCAGCTTTGCATGATGAAACCTGCTCTTGTGGTGTTAAATACCTGGGATCTGGGAATTCTTTGTTATTGCCGCAGATCCCAGCCCATCCTGACTCACATTACACAGCTGGGAGGAGGCTTGGCTGTAACTGGAGCTCGGACCTTTCCAACCATAGCTGCTTTTCTATTGCAGGATCAGGAAAGGCAGACATGGATTTTATTGATTCAAGGATGCGTGCCCCCATGTGCAAATTTAGGGTTCACCTTATCATTAGTGGCATCTCACCATTTTTAGCATGCTGGTAGTGTGACATAATTGTCATCCCCTGGTGTCTTTTGGCAAGATTTAAAAAATGCCAGCATCACAGCTTGGTGAGTGTTTGCCTGAAATGAAGCCTCCGGGGCAATCCTAGAACATTCTTTTAAGGAAAGTTTCCTTCCTCACCTGCCCTGTTGATGCCCTGGAACGGGTGCCTGTGTGGGAAACACAGACATCAATGACTCTCGCCTGAAGAGAGATTCACAGCAGTCGAACTCTGAATGTGAAGACGTTTGAGGATGCCTTGGCCAATTTATTTTGCTGGTATTTTCCCTTTCCTATGTGTAGCATAGTGACATATGATAAAAATCTTTGTCTGAATAAGACTGAGAGAGCCCTTTCAATGCATATAAAATAAAAATTCTAAGTGATAATAAAGCTTCGTGCCTTGGATTAATTGGCAGTGTTTTTTCTTTCTTAGCGGTACATAAAAATGTACCTTACAACCACTGGTACCTTGGATTTGCTGAGATATGCTTCCTGTGGATGCAGGAGGCAGATGTTGCCACCTTGATCCGTTGTGGGGACTCTGGAGCCCCCAGAGAGCCTGCTGGTGGGTGGGGAGCTGGCTCCACACCGGGAGGGGGCGCTCCATTCTCAAGGGCCCCTTCTGCGCCTGTGCACTGGCTCTGACTTTCTTCCCCGCAGATTGTCTTTCTGACATCTCCTGTCTTATGGCTGCTCAGTGGAGCTGATAGAGCTCAGGATAAGCGCAGGCTCTGCGGAGGGAATGAGGACGCCTCAGAATGTAATAAAGAGAAAAGAGAGCACTCTCCAGGCCTCTTCCAGGGAAATCAGGTGAAATTTCTGCAACGAAGATGAACATAGCTGATGTCTTTGCCCGTTTGTCTTCTGTAGTGATAGGGGCCTGGAAGGGGATGTGGCTCTGTCAGCAACCCTATCTGCAGGACCAGGCTTGGGGTAAGGGGAGGCAAAGGAGCTACTAAATCTCAGTACTTCCCTATTCTGATGCAGGCCAGTCCCTGATCTCATCACGGTGGCTCTTTCCTCCCTCCATCCTGCACCCCACGCTGGAGGTGGACCCTGGGGCCTTGCATGTGCTAGGCAAGTGCTCGGTTACTGAGCTACATCCCCAGCCTTCCTCCCCACCCATGATTGTATCAGTCAGGCCAGACTGTGTTATGCTGCTGTAACAACCTTACATCTCAGAGGGTCATAACTGTAAAGGTTTCCTTCTTAAAAATGCTTCACATTCCTCGTATGCCCCCATTCACCCTTGTCCAGGATTCCTGGTGAGCAGAGCCTCTACCTGCAGGGCACACGTTGCCCACTCAGTGGTGACATTTATCTCTTCTGTTCACACCTCATGGCTGAAGCCAGTCATGCGGCCACATCTAATGTAAAAGAAAATGCAGCCCCACCACACACCCAGGAGGAAGAGAGGTAGAATATTCCGGAAGGGCTCTCACAATACTGACTG